GCACCATGGTTAAATAGTGATATAAAATCTCTGATACATAAAAAAGCCATTGCCAAAAGCAAATTTAAACGTAATCCGAGTGATCTCAACAAAGAGAAATATAACAAGGTTCGTAACCACTGCAATATGGTGTGTAGGGATGCTTTACGACGCCACAGTCATAATTCAGTCGAAGAGGATGATCCAGCTAAAGTCTGGAGATTCCTCAGATCTCTTAGGATTGGTAGAACACGTCAAGACTCCTTACCTCATCACATTAATATCGATTCTCTCAATTCTCATTTTTCTTCTTCCTCCGATCTTAGCGACTCGAATAAAAATAGAACCAATCAACAACTTTCTACTTTACCAAATCCCGAGTACTCTCCGTTTCTTTTTACTCAGTTTACGGAATGTGATGTTAAGAAGAGCATTTTATCTATCAATTCCAATGCAGTTGGTGCTGATGGAATTAGTCGCAACATGTTAGTACCTATACTTGATTTCATACTTCCTGTCCTTTCCTCTATTTTCAACAACTCTTTATCCAAATCAATTTTTCCTTCCGCTTGGAAAGAAGCTTAAATTATTCCTCCTCCTAAAAAACCTCGTCCTAAATCTTTTTCTGACTTTAGACCTATCTCTATTCTCCCATTCCTATCCAAAGTTCTCGAGCGTCTTATCCATAACCAATTAGCTTTTGCACGCGTCTTTGTCCGCGTGGTAAAGTTACCTTGAGCAGCATTTCTAACGAATATTTATTCATTAAAGGTTGCCCGAAAAGTACCTGACATGAATAAACTTTCTTCCCCTATTTTATCCCCTTAGGGGTGGAATTTATCAAAAATATATCTTAGGGGATACCTACGTCATAGTAACTTTATGCATGCAAGTCTCAGCCCGATCGGTTTAAAATTGAAAAAGTTTTATACAAACTTTCATCCCATATTTTATCCCCTTGGGGTAGAATTGATCAAAATCCTTTCTTAGGGGATGCCTATGTCACAGTTACTTTAGGCATGCAAAATCTCAGCCCGATCGGTTTACAATTGACAAAGTTTCTTACAAAATTTCATCCCCTATTTTATCCCCTTGGAGATAGAATTGATCAAAATCCTTTCTTAGCGGATGCCTACGTCATAACATCTACCGGCATGCCAAATTTCAGCCCGATCCGTCCAGTGGTTTGGGCTGTGCGTTGATAGATCACTATGTAAGTCACTTTTTTTTTTTTTTTTTTTGTTATCGCAGGGGAAATCCTACCTTATGGACGTATACAGGGCTCTCCAGCCGCACGCAGGTCAAATTGCGGCTGGCCTACCTGGTAAAACCCCTGCGGTGTGTCCGCACATGACGTAATGATGGCGCCCGGGATCGCGTGAGCATGCACCGGGCAAACCATCCGTCATTTAAGGTGCACCCACCTCCCTCTGGCGACGGAAGCGACACGGACCCACACGTGTCTCCTCCCAGTCCAGTCGGAGTCAGCTCAGCGGACGGCCGCTGTGACCCCTTTAGAGGAAGGGGACGCGCAATTGTGCAGTCCCCTCCTCCTCTACCAGCCTGCAAAGGATCCAGTCAGGCTGCTCCTCAGGCATGGATCCTTCCCCGCCTGCCCCGATGTTTCCCGGTGTTCGACGTGACAGTCCGCCGCATGGACCGCCAAGCAGCACATACGATCCGTCCACGCCGACCAGCGGGAAACCTCGTCCCTCTCTTCGCGGCCGCGGTCGCAGCGCCGCCGACACCCGTGCCGTCACATATACCAGGGTATATACCACGACAGGGCCCCGGCGGCGCCGCGGCCGCGGCGCGAAGGGTGGCCCCAATACCCCTAAACAGGGTGGCCCCCAACTTCCTCTAACTCCACGCCACTGTCCCCTAGTCTGACCCTTCTCCTATGGAGAAGGGGGACAAGAGACAGCAGCAGTAGAGCCGACCCGCGCTTGGGCACGCCGCGCAGATAGGCACACTTACTGTGTGTCCATCTCCCCGGCGTTGCCCTCACCCGTTACCGTACGAGGACGCTGAGTCCTGGGACCCGGCCATACCTTCTTCATTGGAGGGAGGCATTTCTTACTCCCCATCCGGTGCGCCGCTGGGAGCTGTGCCTCTGCGCAAACTGCACAGTGCAGCTCCTTGTTACATTCGGCGGCCATGTGTCCACCCCCCCCCCACATCGGAAGCATGTCTCCGATCTGTCAGTCTGCTCAGGGCACGCCTGCCGCACATGCCCTATGCCCATGCACTTGAAGCAGCGCATGGGTAGGGCCGGCAGCATGGTGATACGCGCCGAAGACCACCCAACAGAGACTCTCTTCGCCTCCGCTAGGGTTTTGGCCGCTGCTATGGGCACTTTCAATAGTGTCGCACCCAGTCCACTGTAGCCAATGCGTATCGGCCCGACTCTGATGTTGTCCGGCGCACAACCCCCCTTCAGGGCAACAGCAACTGCTATTTCCTCCGGCTCCACTGACTCGTCGAGGTCCATGATTCGCATGTCCACTCGTTTCATGGGCCTCGATACCTTCACTTTCTCCCTGAAGAGGCTCCTCAGTTTATCAGCCAGTAGGTCTGCCTTATCCCCACTGGCTGCTCCCGGCACTTTCAGCATGAGGGCCCCAGTTGCTGTCCTGCCCAGCTTCAGGTCCGTGATGCCTATCTCCGCCAGCTTTATCCCCCCCTTCGCCTTCATCAGGATATCCTTGTAGGCCAACTGGGACTCCTGTGGGACCTCCAGAATTACGGCAGTAGTTTCTGGGGGTCTCAATCTTTTCGCCCCTTTCCTCCTCTTCTGTAGAGCTGGTGCCTCCCTCTCATTCTCAGTCGGGGGTGGCGCCTGAGTTTGCGGAGTGACCCCCGCTGACTTTTTCTTCTTCTTCCCGCCCTTTTTTGTGACCTGCACCCACGATTCTCCAGCTGGTGGTCCAGTGGACGGGTCAGCAGCATGGCCTCCTCCAGTCTCCGTCTCTGCCCTGGCTGTCATCTCCCTGCGTCTGTCTGCTGCCAGCGGCGGACGCCTGCTCTTCTCTGGGAGCAGTCGTTCCTGGATTCCTTCAAAGCGGGCATTGATTTTATTGCCCACCGCCACTAGGACATCCTTCTTGAGCATCTCTGTTACCTTCAGTAGGTCTCGAGTCGTCAGTGGGCGGTCCAGGGTGTCTCCTGGAGTGCTACCTCCTGCTGCAGCGTTCCACTCCTCCGAATCCATGGTATCCGTAGGTGGGGGGGCGATCGGCCTGTTCTTAATTGCCTGGCGCAGGGCAGCCAGTTCTCCGCGCATCGCCTCCATCTCTCTAATCAGCCTGCGGTTCTCTTCCTCTAGTCTGGAGACGTCTGGCTGTGGATTGTCTCCAGCTAGTTTCTCCACCAAATCGATCAGAGCCGCGGTCGATTCATTAAATACCTTCCGTATTCCTCCTTTTAAGTTGCTCGACCTTTTTGCGGCGTCCTGAATCTTCCTCACCTTCCTCAGTGCTTGCTCCTTCAGCGTGCCTTCCTTTGCCAGCCTTTCTTCATACGCCAGCGTCCTTCCGCTATCAAAGGAATCTGCATCGTCCTCATAGTCCATGGAGACTTGTGTTTTCCCCGTGCTCTTAGTTTTAGATGGGGCCTTCGACTTCACACTTGGTGGGCGTGCTAACGGGGGTCCCATCTCTCCGACCTGGGATCTGGTGACCTGGTGTCTCTCGCCTTCCAGATCTCTCGCCGCTTGCAACTCCTCCTCCAGTCTGTCCTCCGCTCTGCTCTTTTTGTAGGCAGCCATAGCCTTGTAGTACAAGTCATCCTTGTACCCCCCAGCCTGTTCCCGCCCGTACCGGCCTCCTCTCTTTGCCGTTGACGTGGACGCCCCAGGCATGGGTCGCTTCCTGCTCATCCTATCATCGTCCGTGTATGATGAGGCTTCAGTGTCCCAGCCACATTCGTCGTCATCCGTGACACTGAAAGAGTCGCCTCTTTGCCTCTCGCTCAGTCCTGTTTTGCCGGCACTAGTGCTCGGCGTGTCAAATCCGGTATTGCCCTTAGGCACGTCCTTTCCAGTGTTGCTCTTTGCGGAGCTTTCTCCTTCTCCAGTTTGGCCCTGAGAAGGGCCTTTGGGTTGGCCCTGAGAAGGGCCTTTGGGTTGGCCCTGAGAAGGGCCTTTGGGTTGGCCCTGAGAAGGGCCTTTTTTTGGGGTTTTAAATTTTGAATTTTTCTCCATTTGATTCCCACGATTGGGAGGGAAATATTACGTCCACCCGAGCGGTGCCCTCTGCACCCGGGTAACCCTACTTGCTTCCGGAGGTCGGGCAGTTTCCGGAAGTTGGCGCTAGCGGGTCGATGTACTCCACCGACCACCCGCAAAGGGCGCCCTGACACCACGGTGCCCAATGTCAGGGCTTTGAGGTGATTTTTTAGAATGGTTTTCTTCCACGTAGGACCACCTGATTAAGGGCAGTCCCCCCGGTCCCACAAGTGGGATTACGGGCTCGCCGACGGTGGCCGAAGCCTGTCCCTGACCGGTGTTAGCGGACCAGGGACCCGTCGCCTCCGCTCGTGCCGCCGCTACCGGGAAGATTTCCCGGACGCCGGCCGAACCACCGATCCGTGTCAACGCTACCCGGCTTACTGCCAGGACGCCGACACAGAACAACCTCACAGCCCAGAATGGGCTCCCCATACGTGGTCCTGGGTGGACCTTACCTCCCCCCTACGCACAAGACGATGGAGGGCACAGAAGCCCCAAACCCAATAGACCCCCCTCCCAACCCCGAAGGGCTCCCTCCCCAACTCGGCTACCGCTACCCAGAATAAGTCCAGGACGCCAGCCGAGACCCCAGTGTCGGACTCTTGGCCATAGGGACCGATGGATCAGTTAATACTGAATCCATCCTTCCCTATGCCCGGGATACACCGGCCCGCAACCATGGCGGATCCGCCCCCAGTGGGAGCTGATCATCCATGGTAACAGGCGCACGAGGAGGTGTTCCGACCGCGTACCCCTCAGTCAGTCACCTTTGAGTTATATACATATATTTAGACTAGCTTTCGCTTGGTTGCCCCGGGTTGCGAGCAGCCCGGGGAGGTAACGAGTAGCTGGTGCAATCGGGGCGGTGGGGTTTCAAGTCCGCCTCGGAAGCGGAAATTTAATATTTTTCGTTTTTTTTCTATCATGTTGGGTTTACAGTTTGAAATTGCCTACAAAAAGTTAGTAAGTTCTATCTTTAGATGAAAGGTGTTTAAGCACCATACATCAAATAAAAAGGGTTGCCAGTTTGAAACTTAATTGTGAAATCATAAGCGGCCAATCGTGCTGCCCATCGTTGTAGCCGACTGGCAGCCGTCTGTGGTATGCCTACACTTTTTCCAAAAATAAAACTTAATGGTTTATGGTCGGTGCGCAACTCAAAATGCCGACCAAAAAGGTATTGATGGTGCCTAGTAACCCCATAAAAAATAGCAAGTGCTTCTTTGTCGATTTGACTATAATTACGTTCCGCGTCATTAAGAGTGCGCGAAACACAACTGATCGGGCGCTCGCTTCCATCGGAAAAGCGATGCGCCAGCACCGCGCCTATTCCATAGGCACTGCTGTCTACTGATAATACTAAGGGCTGTCCCTCTTTGTAATGTACTAATACTTTGTCACCCAATAAACTTTCTTTAGCCTCTTTGAAAGCTTTAGCACATTCGGACGACCAATTCCATATAATTCCTTTTTTTAACAGCTCATGTAATGGATGTAAAATTATACTCAGTCTGGGGATGAATTTACCGTAATAATTTAACAACCCTAAGAAACTTCTTAACTGCGTAATGTCTCTAGGAGCAGGTGCATCGACAATGGCCTCCACTTTTTTTGGATCAGTATGTAATCCATTCTGAAACTCGGCCGCCAAGCGATCTACACACGGATCCTCATGCAATTGATTAAAATTAATTTGTTTAAAATTAAGTGCCCTAATCCAATCTCTTCCTAAAAGGGGGCGCCCTCCACTTTTGATAACATAACATAACATAACATACCAAATTATTTGCAATGACATCTCCTAGTCTCACATTGACAACTATGTATCCGTGGGATTCAATTTGCCTTCCAGAGTAACAACGTAACATAATATTGTCGGATTGAATGTTTTGTGTAAAAACATTTGTTTGTAAAATTGTTCACTAATGGCTGAGATACGGCTCCCTGTATCGACTTCACACTGAACTACGTAGCTGTCAATGTTAATTTTAATAAAAAATGGTTTGTTATCTTTCGCCACTAAATCTATGCTATACATATCCTTTCTTCACTTACGTAATTCTGTCTAGCACTACGAATATTTTCACGCACTCGACACATCACTTTCAAATGACCTCGTTGATTACACTCATTACAATTATAGTTAGCGTAACGACACCTGTCCGGCCGATGAGCTTTCCCACATCGGCAATAGCGCTGCTTCGTCACCTGCTGCGCCCCAGGCGCTCTGCCAGAGGGACGTGCCGGGCGCCGGTTGCCATGACCGGCGCCGCCAGTGGGCGCCCGCCTCGCGCTCGTACTGTGCAGCCCTCCACCTGCCTCACCGCCTGCACCTGAAGTCGAAGGCGCGGACATTGCCGCGCTCACCGCGGGGTGAAATGCGGGGCGCTTCAATTGTGTCCTGACGTGTATACTTAGACTCCGTTATATTAAATCGTATAAAATCGTTAAAGTCGCCGATGCATATTGTATCCCATATTGATCAATTCATCTAATCGCAAGCTGCATATTGGTGTTGAAATCAATTCGGTGTGTGAAGTGATTGTGATTAAAATTACAAATCTGTTTCTTCGTTTGACGGTTAGCATTCAGATCAGTTAGAATCAGCTGTGTTTTGGCCTTGAACAGTCATACGGCCGTTCACCTCATTATCAACTTTCGTACGGACGATACCAATTCACTAATTTGTCATCATGTTGTATGGCGCAAAGGTTCGCGGTCCAAAATTAGAGTTGCATCGACCGGCAGTTCGATACCGAGAAGAAATTTTATCTTTTTATTTCTTTTTTACTTTTTATTATTTATCTAATTTCACCAAATATCACTTAACATAATTTATTTTATTTTGTATAAAATGGCTCCTGGAAAAATTAAATGTGCTGGTTGTCTGCAAATAATTACAGACAGACAATTCTTACGTTGCTGTGTCTGTTCTGAGCATTTTGATATCGTTTGCGCAAAAGTGTCGGAGCAACGCTTTCGGAATACGCTCACTGGAAATCATAGAGCGCAGTGGAAATGTGATGCGTGTAAAAATAAGGAGCCAAAATATGACAATACCAATACGCCTCTCCGTGACCACGATGACAAAGTTACAAAACGTCGAGGTGCCTCGGTTCGGAGCCCACCTGAGGAGTGCGTACCGGTTCCTGTTGAGAATAAGGAATGGAACATGCAGGCACTGATTGAAGAAATGCGCTTATTTCGGAAGGAAATGCAAGAAATGCGCCTTCAAGTCCAGGCGTTTAGTGTCTCTTTGGGTGCACTCGTATCACGTATTGATACCTGTGAAAACAAGTTGGATCAGCTGACCTCTCGCGTCGAAAAGCTAGAATGCCGCTTAAGCACGCTTAAGCACTTTTCCAGTAAATTTCTCAGATATCAATATTTTTGAGAGAAATAATCCTTGTGTCAGTATTAACGTCTATGGTTTAAAAAATAATAAGTTTGTTACAGGTCCGTTGTATAGATCTGAAAATAAAAGTGGTAAGCGCATTCATATTTTACTTATAGAGGTTGGCAACCTGTCTCATTACTGTTTAATTAAAAATCTAGAACGTCTCGTTAGAAGTCAAATTACTAAACATCATGGCTCTTTGTTTTTTTTTGCGACAGCTGTTTAATATTTTTTCCATCAACAGATAAGCTTAATAATCATGTTTGCGAGGGAGTTGTTACTATTTTACCTGAAAAAAGGTTCTGTTTTACAATTTAAAAATTTCGATCGCAAGCAAAATATACCTTTTGTAATTTACGCTGATTTCGAAACTATGTTACAGCCAGTACCGGAGTGTGAACCAAATCCAAACTTTGCGGGTACTACCGACTTACAGCGATACATACCAATTGCATTCGCATATAATGTTGTCTGTTCCTTTGACGCCTCGAAAAATCAATTTATTTCATATCGTGGTCATGACTGTGTTACGAAGTTCGTTAAATTAGTTCATATTCAAGCAAAAAAAATCTATGATATTTTAAGTTCTACCAAACCGATGATTTTTACCGAGTTAGACGAGGAAAACTTTAACAAAGCCTCGAGCTGTCACACTTGTAAGCATCTACTGTGGAGCGATAAAGTACCCGATCACTGTCATGTTACCGGTCTGTATCGCGGAGCGGCTCATCAAATTTGTAATTTGCGTTACAAAACTCCTCAATTTATTCCTATATTTTTTCATAATTTATCTGGCTATGACTGTCACCTTTTTATAAAAGAGTTAAGTTAGGTGAAATGCCTGGCAAGGTAAAAGTTATAGCGAAAACTAAAGAAAACTATATATCGTTTACCAAGTTTTTATCAATGTCTAATGGTGAATTTATACAATTACGTTTCACAGATTCATTTAAGTTTTTGAGTACGAGTTTAGATAAACTAGCCAAAACTATGAAAAAAGATGATTTTCACTGTTTACGTTCTCATTTCCCAAACATTAAGCAATTTGATTTGTTAACTAGAAAAGAAGTGTACCCTTACGATTATATGAATAATTTAGATCGATACTCAGAAAAGTCGTTACCTTCTAAATCATGCTTTTTTAATTCCCTTACCAATGAACATATTTCTGAAGATGACTATAAACACGCTGAAGCTGTTTGGTCAATTTTCAAATTAAGAGATTTAGGCGCTTATACCGATTTATACTTAAAAACAGACGTACTTTTACTAACGGATATATTTGAAAAGTTTCGCAGAACATGTAAATGTCATTACGAACTCGATCCTGCCTTTTATGTTACTGCGCCCAGTCTATCATTTGATGCAATGCTTTTGAAAACTGGTGTTCAACTTCAGCTCCTCGATGATTTATCAATGATCCGTATGATACAAAAAGGAATACGAGGGGGAGTGTGTATGTGTTCCCACCGTTATGGTAAGGCAAATAACAAATACATGCCTGACTATGATCCCTCTGAAGAAGACTCTTTTATAGTTTATTTAGACTGTAATAATTTATATGGTTACAGTAAGAGTCTATCACTACCTTACTCTAACTTTAGATTTTTAAATAATAATGAAATAGAGGAGTTTAACGTTTTATCCATAGATGATAACGCAGAAAACGGATATATTCTTGAAGTGGACTTGCTTTATCCTGAACACTTGCATCATTATCATAATGATTTACCATTCTGTCCTGAAAAATTCATTCCACCGGGCGGTAAAAATAAGAAACTGATACCTAATTTATACAATAAGTATAATTATGTCATTCATTACGTACACTTAAAAAAATGTTTAGAACATGGACTTCAACTACGCAAAATTCATCGAGCTATTACATTTAGACAAAGTGCGTATCTTAAAAAATATATAGAATTAAATACACGTTTGCGTCAAAAGGCAGAATCCACCTTTGAACAAGATTTTTTTAAGCTCTTGAAAAACTCAGTGTTTGGAAAAACGTTAGAAAATAATGAAGCTCGTGTAAATGTACATTTAGTGAACTATTGGTCTGATACTGGCAATAAAACTAAAAAAAGATTGAGTGCTAGTAAACTAATCGCTAATCCTTATTTTCATAGCGTTTCTGTATTTACAGAAAATTACGTTGCTGTACAAATGAAACCTGATGAAATTGTATTAGACAAACCCATCTACGTCGGTTTTACCGTTTTAGAGCTATCTAAAGCACATATGTACCACTTTCATTATAATATAGTTAAGCCGTATTATCATGACCGCATGAAGCTTTGCTATACCGACACTGACAGTTTTATTTACATCATAAAAACTCTAGATTTTTATAAAGATCTGAAAACATTTTTCTTAAATTTTTTTGATACTAGTAATTTGAATGAAGAAAATCAATTCAAAATACCTTTAATTAATAAAAAGGTACCACGATTATTCAAAGATGAAATGGGAGGACAATTGATATCTGATTTTGTTGGACTAAGATCTAAACTGTACTGTATAAAAACTTTAGATAAAGTTATAAAAAAAGCTAAAGGAGTCAAATCATATGTAATTCGCGACCTCAATATGAGTGACTATGAATCAGTACTTTTAAACGCGAATATAATACGTAAAAAAAATATTTTGTTTAAATCCATCAAACATGAAATCTTTACGAGAGGTGTTAACAAAATTGCTCTCTCTGGTAATGATGATAAAAGGTTGATATCATCTGATAGAATATCCACTACTGCTTGGGGTAGTTCTAATATACTGTAACGGTTGGCATATTATGTTGGTGAACGTTTTAAAATGTCTCTTTTTTACGTTATTTTATTATATTAGGTAAGTTACATTAGTACTTTAACAATTTGTTATAAATTATTATAATAGGGTTAATGTAACTACAATTCTATAAAGAAGTGTAATATTATAAAAATTCTTATTGTTATTATTAATTAAAATATATAACTTTACATTTAATAGATGCATGTGTTTAAAATCAAATCAAGGTTGTAGGTATAACTGCAGGAAATAAATATTGCTGAATATGCTTTGCTACATGAACTTGATTTCATTATTAAGTCAGCAATATTGTACTGTAAGTAGGTATATCACCTTATTGGCAAATTATGTGGTTTCTAAAACATTCCACAATTGGTCATTGTGATATCAACACGATATTAAGTTAAATTACAAATGGAAAACGAAATTAATTCATGCAGTTTGTTTGAGCCTCTTGCTGGTTTTGACGAAATGTTCCCAGAGTTGGCTAAGCTTCAACGAGAGCCAAAGAAGAAAAGGGGAAAACGTGGAGCTCAAGAAGAATGAATGAATGAATGAAATACTCTTTATTGTACACACCATAAGAGAATGAACAAATATATAGTAATCTAACAAAATAGTACAATTGGCGGCCTTATTGCTAAAAAGCAATTTCTTCCATGCAACCTTAACATAGCATACAGGATACAGTTGGAAAAATTGGGTAGTCTATGGTGCATTAAGAAGTCTACAGGTATACCATAACATAACAAAACATTAATGGTTGAGCAGGAAAAATTGTTTATAATACATAAACATACATAGTTACATATACAACGTGTCCCAAAATTCAACGATAAGCGGGCGCCAAGAGGTAGACCTGCTCATGTGTACTTATGGAAAAATAAGAAAAAAATTATATTTTATTAATCTTTTTTATTATAAAATAAAATACGAAAATTTACACCTTTTATGATATTTTCAACTACCACGACCACAACTTCTCAATTATGTTGAATCTTTTTTTGGTATCGGATACCTAAGTAGCACTGCTATTCGCTACAACTCTTAAAAACACCATAATGCCCGCAGTTTTTACACAAAAAACAATGAAATTGTATTTTTTCCTTAAATTTTCACAGATTTTTACGTTCCGTAATCTTTGACTTACGGTCTTGTAAAAAAAAAGTAT